CTTCACCTGACCTAACCGTTCGTTTCCCCCGCAGCTGATCCAGCAGGGCCGCGACCACGGGCTGCCGCCGTACGCCGACTGGGTGTCGTTCTGCGGCGGCGAGGCGGCGCGCCCGCGCTCCTTCCGCGACCTGGAGGTGCGCATGAGCGCGGAGGCGGCGGCCGCGCTGCAGAGCGTGTACGCCAACGTGTCCGACGTGGACCTGCTGCCCGCCGCGCTGTCCGAGCGGCCCGTCGCAGGTAAACGGCCCAACTTACCATCGGAAACACATAGATTCATGCAAACTGCGAAAGTTAATGCGGCGGATTCTAATTTTCCAGAAAAGTATTTCCGAGTAGTTTGTGTGCTCTTTAAATGTCTGAATTTTTTCCATATATGTTTTGTGTTTTCAAATTTTCCCGGGAATATTTGATGTTTTCCCGCTCTGAACGTGTCTCTCCAACGTGTGCTGGTGTGCAGGTGCGCTGGTCGGGCCCACCCTGGCCTGCCTGCTGGGCCGCCAGTTCCACTACCTGCGCCGCGGCGACCGCTTCTGGTACGAGAACGACCTGCCGCCCTCCGCCTTCACCGCCGCCCAGCTGGACGCCGTGCGCCGCGCCTCCCTCGCGCGCCTGCTCTGCGACAACGCGGGCCTGAGCGCCGTGCAGCCCAGCGCCTTCCTCGCCCTGGACCCGTTCCTCAACCACGAGGTGGACTGCTCGGCCATCCCGGCGGTGCCGCTGGACGCGTGGCGCGCCGAGCGGCCCTACGCGCTCCCCTTCACCCTCGTCAACCGCACGCTGCTGGAGGACGCGCTCGCCCAGGCGCACCGCCGCGTCGAGGACGTGCACGAGGCCGAGCGCCAGCTGTGGCGCCAGCGTGAGTACCGGTTACCTCCAGGGTACCTCCAGGGGACCTGCAGGTGACCTGCAGGGTACCGCCAGGGTACCCCCGGGATACCGCAGAATCTCAACAATTTCGCTACAACATGTCATGTATAATAAAAGCGCGATCCATCGCTATAGTCGTTATTGAGGATTATCAGCCTATCAAGACCTTGTTACGTCACGTCGATATCGATACAGGAAGCATATCGAGCTCTCGATGCGAAGATTATATCGCGGAATCGTATTGCATCGCCCCGCTGGGCAGAGCGCCTGCGCGGTAGGCCGACCCGTTGCGCGCGCGCGCGCTCCACCGCTCCGGCGGCCTACCTCCCCGGCGCCGTGCTGTGCTGACCCCCCGCCTCTCTGTTCGCCTCCAGGACGCCTCGCCGACTCGTCCTCGCCCCAGGGCCAGGGGCTGTTGGGCTTCTCGCGACCCCGGCGCCAGGCGCTGTCCATCGCCAACACCTCGCTCGTCCTCGAGTTCGCCACTGCGCGCTTCGTCAGCGGCTTCCTGGAGGGGTAAGTAGGAGTTGTATTTGTTATTGTTAACAAATTCTTCAAGAATGTTTTAGACAGTCCCCAAGACTCTCTCTTTTTTAAATTTGGCTTAATGCCTTTGCCTAAGGAGTTTGATTTGTTTCCAGTTTTACTAGAAATATTACAAAGTTTTTTCCGATTTCGGGGGGAATGTTTCAATTGTTTTCCGGGATAATTTCGTGTTTTCAAATCCTTACTACTTCGACAGCCACCTGCAGGACGTGGAGGGGGGCGCGAGCGTGCCGTTCACGCGGCGCGGCTCGTCGGGCGCGCCGGAGGACGTGCGCCAGCTGCAGCAGCTGCTGTCGGCGCTGTCCGCCGTGGACGTGTCGCAGTCGCTGGCCGCGCCCCGCGAGGAGGGCTGCGACGACTTCAGCCTGCCGTGCGACCCGGGCCGGCGCTACCGCAGCTTCACGGGCTGGTGCAACAACCTGCGCCACCCGCACCAGGGCAAGAGCCTGCGCGCCTTCAACCGGCTGCTGCCGCCGCAGTACGGCGACGGCGTGGGCGCGCCGCGCCAGCTGTCGGTGAAGGGCGCGCCGCTGCCCAGCCCGCGGCTCGTGTCCTTCAACGTGCACCCGGACAACAGCGCGCCGCACACGCGCTACGCGCTCATGGTCATGCAGTTCGCGCAGATCATGGACCACGACCTGACCAACACGCCCGTGTACCAGCCGCACGTGGGCGACGGCGTGCTCGTGTGCCGGCCGTGCGACTCGGCGCGCTCCGTGCACCCGCTCTGCTTCCCGATCCCGATCCCGGCCGACGACCCCTTCTTCCCGTCGCGGGGCGACCAGGGCGAGCCGCTGTGCCTGCCCGTGACGCGGTCCACGCCCGGCCAGCTGACGCTGGGCCACCGCGAGCAGCTCAACCAGCTCACCGCCTACATCGACGGCTCCTTCATGTACGGCTCGGACCCGTGCACGGCGCGCTCGCTGCGCGCGCTCTCGGGCGGCCGGCTCAACGTCACGCTGCACCCGGCGGGCCGCGGCCTCAAGCCGCTGCTGCCGCAGATCGACAACCACCCCGAGTGCAAGGCGCCCTCCGGACACTGCTTCTTCGCCGGCGACCCCCGGTCCAGCGAGCAGCCGGGCCTCACCGTCATGCACACGCTCTGGCTGCGCGAGCACAACCACGTGGCGGAGCGGCTGCAGCAGCTCAACCCGCACTGGGCGGACGAGACGCTGTACCAGGAGGCGCGGCGCGTCGTCACCGCCCAGTTCCAGCACATCGCCTTCAACGAGTTCCTGCCCAGGATCCTGGGCTACACCTCCGGCCAGCGCTACGACATCAAGCTGCTGCGCGAGGGGTACTTCCACGGTACGATTTTCATCTATCTCATTGTTGTGTTACTCATGACTTGACTCCCGACTGAAGCAACAAGTCTCGCTGCGCAGGCTACGACCCTACCTGCGACGCGACGCTGGTCAACGAGTTCTCCTCGGCCGCCTTCCGCTTCGGGCACAGCCTGCTGCAGCCGCACTTCGTGCGCATGGACGCGCAGTACCGGCCCGTGGAGCCGCCCGTCCGCCTGCGCGACCACTTCTTCAACTCGGACATCATCCTGCAGCCGGGCATGGTGGACGAGATCGTGCGCGGCCTCGTCGCCACGCCCATGCAGACGCTCGACAAGTTCATCACCAAGGAGGTGACGAACCACCTGTTTGAGCACCGGCGCCCGCTGCGCCCTTTCTCCGGCTTCGACCTGGTCGCCATCAACATTCAGCGCTGTAAGGACCACAAGCACAGTAACAAAAACAGAGATTTTGGAGTCCGAAATTATTGTTCCGGAAAAATTTAAAACCTCTCCAGAAAAAATTGAAAAATACGGAATATTCCCAGAAAAATTTGAAAAGAAAAAAAAGAAA